TATATATATAGAGAGAGAGAGAGAGAGAGAGAGAGAGAGAGAGAGAGAGAGAGAGAGAGCGAGAGAGAGAGAGAGAGAGAGCAATCCCTCATTTTTCACGGTTAATTGGTTCTGGCCCTCCCTGCCCCTCACGAAAAGTGAAAAACTGCTATGGAGGAAAATTTATTTCATGCAGTTATTCATTTGTTTTAAACAGTGACACAACACATTAATTGAACTGTCGTCACTCGGAAACATCTATAGATATAATGGAACTGCATGTTATCTGCATGGGGACCAGAGCCAACATTGATGTTCTGAAAGATTTCACTCAAAGGTAGCATATACAAACTCAACAAAAAGGGACCCAGTGCCATGGCCATTTGATCAGATTCAAAACTTCCAATGGAGAAAGTTCAGCATTGTTGCTCTTCTACTTAGAAGTGGCCATCCTGTAAGGATGACCACAAGAGTACTGTGCGTATGCTCGTTGATGTGAAGAAAAATCCTAGTGTCGGTTTAAGATTTACAGAAATAACTCTGTTGACAAATCTACAATATGTATAATATTAAACAAGAATGAATTTCCTTCATGGATACCACAGAAGAAGCCATTGGCGTCCAAAAAAAACACTGCTACAGATCTGAAGTTTCCTGGATAGACACCGCTCCTGGCAAGCTGTTGTGCTGACAGATTAAACCAAAGTTGAGTTGTTTGGAGGGAATACACAACGATATGTGTGGAGAAAATAAGGCACACACCACACGACCATCAAAACCACATCCCAGCTTTGAAGTATTTTGGAGGAGTCCTCATGGTCCGGGAATGCTGTCCTAATCCTACGCCTGGAAACATTGTTGTCATCGAAGAAAATATTAATTACGTTAATCGAGACATTTTGCAGATGACTCAAGTACTTCTGTCTACCAGTTAAAGCTTAACAGAATGTGTGTGATGCAATCGGACGACCAAAGAATTGAAGTAAATACACCACTCAATGGCTTCAACAGAAGAAAAGACACCATCTCAGGAGCCTTTGACCTCAACGAGATTTAGATGTTGTGGCATTACCTCCACAGAGGACTTCACACCAAAAATCACGAGAATATTGGTGAACAGAAACAGTTGTATTAAGAAGAATAGTCCAAAACTCAACTTGACCATTGGGCAGGTCTGATTCACAACTACATGGAATGTCTCGTTGAGGTTATTGCTACCAATTATTCAATCTAAAGGTTCACATACCTTTTCGTGTTCTATAAAATCAGGGAAATAAATATTTTCTGTGGGGTACTAATCCCATACCAATGGTTTGATTAGAGATTTTCGCACATGATCTGAATGTGCTCTATGCACATACACTCACCGGCCACTTTATTAGGTACACCGTGCTAGTAACGGGTTGGACCCCCTTTTGCCTTCAGAACTGCCTCAATTCTTCGTGGCATAGATTCAACAAGGTGCTGGAAGCATTCCTCAGAGAGTTTGGTCCATATTGACATGATGGCATCACACAGTTGGCACAGATTTGTCGGCTGCACATCCATGATGCGAATCTCCCGTTCCACCACATCTCAAAGATGCTCTATTGGATTGAGATCTGGTGACTGTGGAGGCCATTTGAGTACAGTGAACTCATTGTCATGTTCAAGAAACCAGTCTGAGATGATTCCAGCTTTATGACATGGCGCATTATCCTGCTGAAAGTAGCCATAAGAAGTTGGGTACATTGTGGTCATAAAGGGATGGACATGGTCAGCAACAATACTCAGGTAGGCTGTGCTGTTGCAACGATGCTCAATTGGTACCAAGGGGCCCAAAGAGTGCCAAGAAAATATTCCCCACACATTCCACCACCACCAGCCTGAACCGTTGATACAAGGCAGGATGGATCCATGC